AAAGGTTTGGGGGGGGTGTTAAAAGGTTTGAATGGGGGAGGGGGTGTTAAAAGGTTTTTTGTTTGGGGGGGGTAAAAAGGTTGGAGGGTGTAAAAAGGTTTGGGAGGGAAGGGGGGGGGGTAATTACCCTAAACCGTGAGTGGACACAGACAGGTATTTTAGACGGCCTTGCACTTGGCGCGGCGGGGAGAGGAACACAGGAGGAAGAAAGGGAAAAGAAAGACAAAAGCCTTGACAACGGAATGTAAACAAAGACGGCATCAGATAGTACGAGATGACACAGACAAAGAAATAAATAGAAATGTTCTAATGTCGTGACTGTGGTATCGATAAACACTTACAATGATCTACCCTGTGTAGTTTATACATTCACATTTGTGTATGGCAGTAGTGCAAGGTTTTGGGAGGGGTCTGTGTTTCTTTTTTGTCACATCCATCAATAAACGATACAAAATACAGCTCAAGACGTATGTATACATCAATAGTATACTCGTATTGGTATCTTTTTGTGTCTGCATTATGTTCATATGTTCTTAGGCGTGCATGTTGCATGTATTGCTGGGCTATTGTGGGATAGTAATGTGGGATAGTAATGTGGGATAGTAACGTGGGATAGTAATGTGGGATAGTAATGTGGGATAGTAATGTGGGATAGTAATGTGGGATAGTATTCATGAACATGCACGAGATGAATAAATCATATGCAATATTTTATGTTGGTATTTCAAAGTCATAGTTCTTGAAGAATGTACTCTAAAATTGACCACATTTTGAAACGTGAAAATACTACACTGTACACCACAAAATAATATTTGTAAATGTCATCTGTCATATAAGGCAAAAGGTGACATCATGTTTGTTGTTCCCTTTGTACTTTTAATTACAGTTTTACGGCACTTGCAACACAAATGAGTCATACAATAAAAGTGCTGGATTTAGAATCTATAACGTGTTTAAAATATTTCAAATTTTCCTTTTACTCAAGCCAGGAGAACTCAGAAGTCGGTCAATCTTCCCCCGATATCCCAGCTCCCCAGCTCGCCCATCCCTGTCTTGTGAGTCACTCATGCTGCTGTTTGCAAGGTTACCTTTGGCACGCAAAGATACACCAATGTTTCACACACACAAACACACACACACAGGAAAATTCATACCCGTCAACGACTGCGGAAGTCCAGAATAGTATACAGCACTGTCTACTCACTTACACAGGATAAATCCAGGCAGAAAAGAAGCAGCTCACTTTGTCAGTTTTCTCAAGTTTTAACTCAAACACATAATAATTTGTCCTTGACATTGGTGACCAAAACTGCTTATCAAGCACATACGGGTTAATTGAGTTGAGGTGAGAGGGGATGGAAATACAGGGAAGAACTATAGGTTTTTCACACTTACCTTCTCGGAGAACTTCAAAGACACTGAGAGCTAACAACGAGAAAGTGAAGAGACGGAGAGAAAGAGTGTCCGAGAGCCGAAGCAGGCGAGGAAGACCAGAGGTTCAGGTGTGTATTCTTACCTAGAGAAAGACGAAACAATATGGCTGCCCCCAGAGATAAGCTGGAATGTTCTTGGGGAAGCGAAGAAAGTAGAGTGAGTGTTTATAGAAACGTGCACAAGAGCTCACGGGTCACACCAGGCCTCGTGCATTTTCCCGCCAGAGAGGGGGAAGCAGAATCAGGGTCACTTCCTGTTTCTAAAAATAGAAACAAGTTTCGAAAAGAACAAAGCGTGTACTGAGAGTACTTGAAACAACAAAGAACTTACCCTTTGGAATGAACAGCCTTTTGTGAAATGTTTACAGTTGCTGTTGAAAATAAAATTGCAAAGTTGAAGACTTCTTAAAGAATCGTTGTTTACTTTTGGAATCTACTCACCCCTGACAGAAATGAAGGTGGACTGTGCCGCACGCGCCTCTGTGAGCGCTAAGCCAACAGGAGATTGGTGAGCAGGGACCCGTGGCTCCTTTTATAGTATGTACCTTACAGCACGCGCACAGAGCTGAGTTGGCACTCACTGGGAGAGATGTGGTGGTAGTGTGAGCTAGGCCTGGGGTAGAGTGTGTGTGTGTGTGTGTGTGTGTGTGTGTGTGTGTGTGTGTGTGTGTGTGGTTCTGTTGAGAGCAGGGGTGAGGGGTGGGACAGGTAGATACAGATTCATTAGGTGGGAGAGAGAGAGAGAAGAGAGAGAGAGAAGAGAGAGATAAAGGGAAAGAGAGAAGAGAGAGAGAGAGGGAGAGAGAGAGAGGTAAGGAAAGAGTAAGAGAAGAAGAGGATAAGTGAGGGAGGGATACACGAAATAGGAATAGGTGGATAGATTATAATACGAGGGAAATTACATTCGACAAGAGAGAGAGAGAGAGAGAGAGATAGAGAGAGAGAGAGAGAGATAGAGAGAGAGAGAAAGAGAGAGAGTGTGTGTGAGAGAGAGAGAGAG